GATTCGATGGGAAACAAAGAAGTTCTCAAGCGGGGGGACGTCCAGCTCACCTCCGCAGGTACTGGAATTCGTCATAGCGAAGTGGCGCATGGCCCAAATCAAGTGCATTTCGCTCAGATTTGGACTGTGCCCTGGAAGAGCGGGTTGAGCCCCAAGTACTTCACTCGGTACGTATGGCACCAATTTAATGCGTGAGATGCTCCTAATTTCTCGTTTTATTATTCTAGTCACTTCTCCGATGACGAAAAGAAGGATAAATGGGTTCAAGTCGTCGCCCCAGTTGGTGCGAAAGATGTATCCAGCGATCGTGAAGGATCGGGCCCCGCACCAGTCCAGTCTCCAGTTACCTTGTCTGCAACTTTACTCTCGCCCTCGACTACCCTGACGCATATACTTCCTTCCCCAACCACAACCGAAGGAAAATCTTCATCGCAAAGGAAGGCGTACATCCACATCATTCAATCTTCGGGATACAATCCAAGCACGGCTAGCGGAGCAAGCGTGAAGATCTCTGGTCCCGGTGCTGAGCTCGTGTTGCGAGAGGGAGACGGCGCCTACGTTCTTGGTACTGAAGGCTCGGAGCTGAAGTTCGAAAACACTGGCAACTCAGTCGCCGAGATCCTTCTCTTCGATGTCGAGTAGTAATCGTATCTCTCTTACTGACAGCTCCTACTTTGTATCAGTATTCTAAACAACTACATAATGAATCGTTTCCCTTGATGCATATATCTTGCTGCGAAGCGTTATTAGGTGTTTACCGCGATGCACTATTAATTCATACGGCCAACGTTATTGTACAATGATAGCGCTTAGATGTTATTTGGTCTTGATCAAAAGAACGTACTTCCTTCCTCAGGTTGTGGAAGCTTCTTGTTCTCCCCGGAGGCCATAGCTCTGGAAAAGGCGTTGAACATGGTACAAAAGCATGGCAGCATACACTCATGACTCACCTTCTAATCTCTACCAGAACTGTTTCGAGGCTCATCTCGTGGCTCCAATGACTGAGATTTGAAATCTTCTTTAAATCGACCTTTCCGTTCTTCTGATCCACGAAGGGTAGATTAATTCGAGAAATGAAAGTGACCGCCGGTGCGACCTCTGGATAGTGGTCATCGCAATGAATGCGGAGACTGTATATGCGGTTCTCGTGTACCGTCTGTAACCTCCGATCGTCAGAGAACAGCGACCATTTTCGATCATACAGTTTGACTGACGTGTCCTGGACCGAGAATCGTCCCTGTCCAATTGCTCATTGTGATATCGTCGCCATCCTCGAGACCATACGAGCATGAGCCGTCACCAATGCCCTTCTCACCCTTCTCGAGTTCCTCAAGGAGTTTGAAATTTCTTGGAACTAAAGACGATGGTAAACGAGCTTGCAGCACTTTATATCCCGATAAATACCTTTCGCCATCCTAAAGCACTTCGAGACGAGATGAGTGTACGATGTGAAGTCGATTCAGCCGCCAATGTCGCGACGCGAAGGCAGCGAAGCGGCAGTGCCGGCATTCCCCGAAACGGCAAGGGCATGTCATAGGACGGGAAGGCAACTCATCGCTGCCAGGGACCACCACTTTGCACAGTCGTCGACGTCGGGAGACTCCCGCTGCTTTTGTCTGAACGTCCACCATGTTTAGCAGCGCGAAGACGAATCCATTTGATGATATTGTCGGTGAGTGCGCGGTAACTTCACGGCGAATGCGGCATGGTCGATCTCACCAGAATTCGCCCGCAGCTAAGACCACTGACGAGAACTTAACGAGCGAGAATTGGGAGTTAATTATCAACCTATGCGACAAGGTCGACGATGAAGGGGAGCAAGGGTAAGTGCAGCATCTCACTGGAGAGAACGAAGTCTGAGAATTATCCGCAGAGCACGAAACGTAATCGCCGCATTGCTGAAGAGACTCGCGCATCGGAATTCCAATGTCCAGATCTACGCGTTGGCCTTAGCAGACTCTTTGTCGAAGAACTGCAAGGGACAGACAGGGCTGAACCGTGAAATATCGTCAAAGTCGTTCACCCAAGGCTTGGAGAGGCTTGTCACCGATCGGGTTCGTCGACTGTTGACATGATTGATGACTGTCGCGACTGACCCTGCGTCCGTAGAACACTCATGATAAGGTCAAGAAGAAGGCGTTGTCGCTCATTGCGATGTGGGCTCGAGAATTTAACGACGAATCCAATCTCATGACGGAGCTCTACAACAACTTGAAGGCAAAAAGTAAGGGATTCTCTTCTCGCCACTAACACCGTTTTGAAATCTGCATCGAATTAGATTACAGATTCGAAGAAGAAAGCGAGCCTCCTCCGCCCAGAGTAGACGACGATATCCTAAGGAAGGAAGAGGAAGAGCTTCTAGCTGTTCTTGAAATGTCGAAGCTCGATAAAGGGGGGAGAGGACAATGGGACTCTTTCAATGGTCGTGGCGCCGGAGGAGCGGGCAGCTCAAGCTCATCAGCGGGGCCTAGCCAACACTCAGCAAAACCTGCAGAACCCGCATACACGACTCCGAAGCCGTCTTACACTCAGTATGCTGGTGGATACGTTCCCGCTCGCACCCCGTCACCCAAGGTGGAATCTCCTGTGATAGCTGCTCCTGCAAGAGCACAAACGTTCACCGCAGCACCAGCACCAGCAGCAACGCAAGTCTATCATCCCGCTTCCTCTCAAGCTGTGCATAGTTCACAAAGCTCCCTGTCGCTTAAGACAGCTTCTCGCGTTCGGGCGCTCTACCCGTTCGAAGGGAGCGAGAAGGGCGAGCTTTCTTTCCAGAAAGGCGACATTATCAAAGTCGTTGACCAAAACTACACGGAATGGTGGCGAGGCCAATTGAAAGGAAGAACTGGTATTTTCCCAGTCAACTATGTGGTGTGTCGCGAAGATTCTACAACATCCCGTGTACGCGTTCTGAAAGCCTTGTAGGAATTATTACCAGACCCAACGTCCGAAGATATTGCGAAAGAAGCAGAACAGGAAGCAGTCGTTTTTGCCCAAGCCGCCAACGTCGACAAGTTGTTGAGCATGCTCCGAGGCATGGATCCTGCGAAGGACAATCTCGCCGATAACGAAGAAATTCAGGTGTGTTTTCCATGTCGCACGTTCATCACAAGTGTGGATATTCAATAGAGCGTTTGCAGGAACTATACAACATAAGCATGTCGCTTCGACCACGCGTGGTGAAGCTCATTGATAAATATAGTCAAAAACGAAGTACGTTGATCATTTGAACTATTATACATACATCGGTTAAAGCATTGTTTTTCAGCTGAACTAGTCACCATCCACGAAACGTTCGTCAAGGCGCGAAACATTTACGATCGCATGATGGAAGAGTCTCTGGCTCGCAACAGCGGAAGTAAGTCATTACAGTTATATTGGCGTGGAATCATTCTTTATGGCGAAATCCCTCAGTGTACGATGCAAGGCCGACTTTCCAGACATCTTTGCAACCCCAGCTGCGACCGGACTCGAGAATCCGGCCAGACTACGGCGCGTCTCCATACCCTATGTACGACCAACAGCCTGCCGCGCCTTTCAATGGCGCCTTCCCGCAGCCCGCTCCTCCCAACTATCCTACTGGCGCGTCTGCGACTCCCCAGCCGTTTAGTCAACCAGCACATGGCCCACAGCAATATCCTGGCCAGCAGGTATATGCGCTTCCTCCACAAGGAGCACCTGAGCAGGCCATGTATGGTGGGTATCCCCAACAGCAGCAGCAATCTGGGATGCAAGTTCCTCAGCAGCAACATCAGCCAGCAGCATCGCCCCAGCAGGTACAGCAGCCCGCGCAACAGCCTCAGCAAATGCAAATTCAGACTCAAGTGGCGCCCACACCGCAACCGCAGAATCCAGTGCCGCAGATTCAGCAGACTCTTTCACCGCAACTTCTAGCTCAAGCCCAACAGCAGCAAGCGCAAGCGCAGGCACAGGCACAGGCACAAAATGCATACCACGAACCTACTGGTGCACCTCAGCCTCAGCCTCAAGGACAACCACAACCCACAGTCATCACGGGCAACCCACCATATCCCTTCGATCCTCTCGCCAAGTATCCAGATGAGAACGCACAGGCATGGGCTGCTTACTACGCTCAAGGGGGTGAGGATCCACAAGGACTGGTTTACTTCATCTCCGTACCTCGTTTGAAGGAGGCGCCTTCGGAAGCTCCAGCGCAACAAGCTCAGCCGACTTTGCAAGCACGATCGTCCTCATTTGACGCCGGGGGAGGCGCGGCGGCGGCGCCACAGCCCTCAGAACACCCCGCAGCTGGGGTACAGCCGCTGCAGATCAATCCTCAGGCTCAACAACAACCAGTAGGACAGATGCACCCAAGCGCTGACGCGCTACCAGGCTACAATGCGACAATGCAAAACGGGAGCACAACGTCACTGCAGCAACACAGTACAGCGCCAGGGCCTGGTAATGTGTCGCCACAGAGTTTGCAGCACCAGCGAGGGCCTTCGCTCAGCCAAGCGCCCGGATCGCCGACGTTCGCTAGTCAGCAGCAGCAACCGCCGTACTACGCAGCGCAGGGGGCTCCACCACAGACTGGACCAACTTCGCCCATTGGTGGATCGCACCAGCAGTTACCCGCTCCTGGTCAGTACCCGCCTAACCCTTATCCAGACCAGGCACCTGCTGCGGGGGCACCCGATCCCAACGCTCAGTACAATGCACAATTTGCACAAATGCACGGACAATTTGGTGCAATGGGCGTCGGCGAACGGACACCGTCCGCACCCGCGACGCAGACTGTCTGAGGGATTGTTGGATCGGAAATTGAGAGTACTGTAGCTAGCAGCAGTCAGTGATACCAGAGAAGGATCTAATGTTCTTAATTTGCTTCAGCTTTGTATCTACCTTTATTACATGCATTTTCGACCAAACGCTCTCTAATTCTGCAAAAGGAATCTCCAAGGAACAAGGTACATGTACATGAGACTGTATCTCGCTCGTCATTCAGATCAAACTTCAAAAAAGAGGAAATGAAAAAATAATGGCCAGTATGAGGGTCGAACTCATGACCTTGGCATTGCAAATATTAGTACCACGCTCTAACCAACTGAGCTAACCGGCCTCAAAAAAAGTGTGTAAATGTAAGTATATAATCATTTTGTAAGTTTTGTTACTTAGGGCGTGGAATGATGACTGTGACGTCAAACCGGATTGCAACTCGGTTCAGTTGAATGGCGAGCAAACATTCATCCTGAATGCTCCCAAATCCTCGAGGCGACGCCTTTTTCTCTTCAACCACGACTTTCACGACGGCGAAACATCTAAAGGAGACGTTCAGAAAGCAAGTGATCCAGTTCTCGTAGGGAAACATCAACAACAGCGGCGAAAGAACGACGTGAAACATGACTTCAAGCGAACCGAAGGCGGCGGATTCGCCTCCAAAGGTGGATCTCGTCCTCGTTTTCCGTTCAGGCTTGCTGCATCAAACTTCGAAATACACAAGCAAGCAAGAGATTAAGGAGAACGCGTTGGATGCGCAGGCTGAATATGAGAGGCTTCTCTCGAAACTCCAGGGTGCTGGCCTGCACGCGACAGGAAGACGAGGTCAGAAGACGGGTCAACTTTTGGTGCTAATTTGGGCACCGAGCTCAAAGGTCGCTCGGATAGTCCAGCGCGAAAGGTATGTGATGGTTGAAATGATTTCCTGCTTAAATTGACATTGTTGAAGGCATTCAGACTTTCTGCGTGGACTTCCCTCCTCTTCAATGACGACAATGACAACTGAGGCATTATCGGAACCCGAATCCCTTGCACCTGCAGATCGCGTTCGTCTCATTCATGACTATATCACCTCCACAACACTGGACGGCGGGCTTGGTATTATTCCAGGTAGCAAGGACTGGAAACGTGTTGAAAGCATAATGGCACTTCATGATCACGACTTTAACGACATGTGGCTTCGCAGTTGGACGCGGAGACAGATAGGATTTGGAATTGGTATAATCGAGCTCGATAAGATCAAGGACGAGGTGCGTAGACTTCGTACAAGTTGTTATCTGTTTCTAAGACATTGGGCAGTTTGGAGAAGCCGTGGCTCTCTATTTCTCTTTTCTTTCATCATATTCTACCGCTCTCATCCCTATTGCAATCTTTGGTTTCTTGTTCTTCTATCTAAAACTCCCATACTCACCCATCTACTCCGCCGTCCTCGCCTTGTGGTCCGTCGGATTCGTCGAATATTGGCGCATTCGGCAACGCATCCTTTCAATACGCTGGGGGACCCGTGGATCATTCCGTGCTGAACGCCGGAGGGCTCAATACGAAGACATTATTGGCGGGGGAAAGTTTCCCTGGTGGAAGAGGGACTTACGCATTTTGTCTAGCTTGCCCGTCATCCTGCTCTTTGCGGGCTTATTAACAGCCCTGCTGACCGGAATATTCATCATCGAGGCTTTTGTGACGCAACTGTATACCGGACCTGGCCAGAAATACATCGTAAGTGATATCATCGTCTCGTCTTGGACTCTCAAGCACCAAAACTGATGACTACCAGTCGTATATGCCAACGGTACTCTTCATCGCGTTAGTACCTCGACTATTGGCGGTTTATCACTCCTATGCCGTTCGCCTCACCGATTGGGAGAACCATCCTCAACAGTCAGCACATGAAGCATCGCTGACGCTCAAGACATTCGCACTGTCCGCTATCGTGGCTTACCTGGGGCTTGCACTTTCGGCATTTGTATACGTTCCCTTCGGCGAGTATATCATGGAGAACGTACAGCAGACGCTCTTCGCCTCCACCGCCGTAGTTGGCGCCGGGGCGTTTAAGATTGCGAACGGAACCAAACTGTCGTCGAAGGCTACGGAGCAGAATATTACGGCGGGTACAAATTCTACGGTGGACGGATTATGGGCAAGTGGGGCGAAGAAGACGAACCCCACTCGCTTGCAGAGTCAAATGTTTGCGTTCACTGTGACGAACCAAGTCATTGGGGCATTCTTGGAAGTCGGTCTACCATGGATCCAAGGGAAAGTCGATTCTTTCCGCTCGGGTGGACTAAAGAACAAGTTATCTCCATCTCCATCGACACATCACACGGTAGCGAGCTCGTCCTCCAACACAGCAGTCTCAGCGACGAACACGAAGCGCAACAACGGCAAGCGAGTCGTCTTCGAAGATGAAGAGTTTGGTGAGAAAGTAGAGCGCGAGTTCCTCGCAGAGATTCGCCACGAGGTGTCTCTTCCTGAGTACACGCTCTTCGCCGACTACTCCGAGATGGTCACGCAATTCGGGTACATCGCGCTCTGGTCGACGATCTGGCCGCTCGCGCCGCTCATGGCGCTGGCGAACAACTGGCTTGAGCTCCGCTCGGACGCGTTCAAGGTCGCGCGCCAGAGCCGCCGCCCGATCCCAGCGCGCACGGACACGATCGGGCCCTGGCTCGACTCGCTGACGTTCCTCACCTGGCTCGCGGCGCTCACGAACTCGGCGCTCGTGTACCTCTTCCGGCCGAGCAAAATATCGGAGACGGTGTATGGGACAGAGCTCGACGCGAGTCATATCCACACTTCGATGCCGCTGAAGTCGTCGTTCGTAGCAAGGGCTGCGACTTCGCACCCGGAGTACAACGAGCTCATCGTTCCTGCAGTCTTGATTGCTCTCTCCGCATCGCACGGGTATATTCTCGTGAGGCTCTTTGTTCGTCACGTCTTGGAACGCTTGCTGTGGAAGGGCAGCAAGGAAGAGGAAGCAAGTGAGGAGGCTGATCGCCTCGTCAAGGAGCAGTACTTGAAGAGTTTAGGCCTCAGTGATGAAGAAAGCGTGTCGAGCACCGTGAAGGACGAGGGACTTGGGGACATCGCATTCTGGAAGCGGGACGAGGGGATCGATGAGATTCAGAAATCTGTGAAGGATGCTTGATTGTTCTCTTATTCTCATTCCGTTTTATGCATGAAGTATCTCCGACTTCACCCCTTGGACGATATTCTACTTGATTATCAGCTTGATTAGTGAAATTTTTCCTGCATCTCTTAGTACTTCCCATAACTCGCCGCGCCGGTTCATAAAACATCAGTTAATTTCACAGTTCAAGATTGGCTTGGTATTCTAAGAACATACATCTTAAAGCGGGTTTCGATATCACCCAAACGCCTTCACCGCGTTTACACATTGGAAAAAAATCTTGGGAGTAAAGTATCTTCATACTGAACAAGTGGCTGCCTGTATCACTTTTCTAGCCTGTTTCCCTACAACTGACTGGCTTCGACAACTAAGTACACTGCTAGCGCACTTGGCCTTGTTCCGATCGAACAATCCAATAAGTAGTCGACCTTTTTCTTGGCCATTGTACATACGGTAAGTCCAAATTATTCAACCACTCAGAAGTAGAACTTATGCGCCGAGATCATTTAGAGAAGGGCAAGTAGAAGGTTTATATTCACAAAACAAAGCATACAGTCACACGAAGTACATGTATGTTAGCCCACGGACGTACCTCTCAAATTCAAGTGCTCCTAACTTGTCGGCGTCATCGGAGCTCGAGAGAATTCGTCAGAACTGTCGGGAAAGAAAAGAAGAAGAGTATTTACCTTTGCTACGTCTTCACACACAATGCGCGCGCAACCAGCAGCCAACCCGACCTCCGAGAGTATCGGACAAGCTGAAGGTCGCAGCCAAACCACCCCCGGTGGCAGGCCCCACAAGCACACAGCTAACCCGAGTGCAGAAGAGTGGACGCGCGAGTGAAGAAGATCCCGGTCGTTGGCCCAGATGCTGCTCGCAGCTATTTTGTGACCCTATCGTCAAGCGGTGTCAGAGCAGCGAAGGTAGAGGAATAAAAGAAAGGCTTACAATTCCGCAGAACCTCTACGCAGTGCGCGAGCTGTAGCCCTTGCGAGGCATGAATGCAGCCCACCACCCCCGGTGGCAGACCCCACGACCCCGCTTTGCAGCGAAGTGTGGTCGCGCGACAGTGACGACGATCATATTTAGAGTCCCGAGTCGCCACCGGTACATGGAATAGGAACGGGGGAGAGGGACTATAGAGTGCGCGCTTCCAACAGACCACCCGACCTAACATCGGCTGGCCCGAGGTCGACAGCCAGACCATCGACGGCGGTAGCTGGCCCCACTGGAGTGGACGCGAGTGAGCGAGGGCGGCGCTGGGACACCTGCAAAACCTAGGAATAATCAGCGACGAATGCAAGAGCCACGAACGATGTCAACTCACCTCGCAAATTAGAGCTGCCTCTACCACGCTCACGTCGATCTCGACCCACTCCCTGGACTCTACGCGGCCACCGCTAGCAACCGGGTTCCGAGGGAGAGAAAGATCTTCCAAAACCCCAGGACTCTACGCGACTGCCGCTGACAGCCGGGTTCACTGACGGGGGGAAGTGATCGACGGAGCGTGCGAGGGCGGACAGCTTTCGCCCTCGAAAAAAATGACTCGGAGCGCTCTGTGGAGAGAGGGACGCGTCAGCGATGTTCAGGAGTCCGAAGAGGAGAGAGCCTGCTAACCTCTCAGATGATTCGGGGCACCGTTGAGGTGCACCCGGGGGGAGAAGACAGCGCGCCCGCCGATGAGGGGGCGACGACCGTCGGTGGGCAGTGGTAGTGGTAGAGGAGTGAGAGTGAGAGAGCGCTCGAGGAGATGGTAGTGGTAGGAGGAAGAGCTCGTTGGTGAGCTTGGAGAGCAAGAACGAAAAACGGGCCAACTTTTATAGAGATTTGGGAGGTCAGCCTCCAAGGCTCCAGACGCTCCTCGATTGGAACTCGCGAGTCGGGCTGACGCTGCAGCTTGGATCTCAGTCTGAAATTTTGACAGAAGATCTGAGGCTGGCTGCATCTCCGGAGTCTCCGGTGGCTGGCCTGAGCCTCGACGCGCTCCAGAAGGTCCATTGTGCCAGCCCGTCGCTGGTTCTCTGTGGAGCTCCCCGGAGAACGCAAGGTAGCGCCGAAGAAGCTCAACGAACGGGGAGACTCAAAGCTGTAGACCAAAAACATTTGACAGAAGTATATGCATTGGATGCTTTGAGTGAGAAAGTAAGTGAGCATGTTTTGTAAGGTTGAGTCAGGATACGCACTCGGGCGGTGGAGACGAGTGGCAGAATGTGAGG